AAATAATAATAGAATATTAATTATAAATGTTGTATTGTTGTTATTAGATATTAAGTTATTAGCAATATTTCCCTGTCAGCTATTAGCTGCATTATTTATTGTCTTCATATTACTGTTTTTAATTTATTTACACCCTGTATTTTGTTTTTTTTTGTCATCGATAATGTTATTTTAAGCTCATTATTTCAACCTGTTTTTATTTTGTATTTATTATTTTATACTATTATTACTTTAATAAAATAATAGAATATTAATTATAAATGTTGTATTGTTGTTATTAGATATTAAGTTATTAGCAATATTTCCCTGTCAGCTATTAGCTGCATTATTTATTGTCTTCATTGTACTGTTTTTAATTTACGTACGTACTGTATTTATTTCTTTTGTCTTTGTTGTATTTATTTTAAGCTCATTATTTCAATCTATTTATTTATTACCATCATGGCACTGTTTTAATTTATTTACGTACTGTATTTGGTCATCAATTATTTTATTTTAAGCTCATTATTTCAGCCTGTTTTTATTTTGTATTTATTATTTTATACTTTATGTGTTTATATAAATAGATTTTTAGTTATGTTTGTTTAGGTTTAGTCTTGAGTTTGTTATAGTTTAACCGTTTATAAACAAATATATTTAAATATTATTCCACCCATACGTCACTGTTGTCATTTTATCAGGGTATTTAAATCTCACGTCAGTCACGTGGTCTGTGGTTTTAATGTGATGCAATGCTGCATTTGATTATTGGCAATAAAAACAGAGTCACTAATATCTTTACAAGGTGTTAATACCTGTTTAAGTGGCAACCAGGTTTAGTCGTTGACTGTAATCTGTGTTATGCAAGAATTGTTTTTATGCTCGCCTCCTGCAAACAGAAGTTTCTAGAGGGTTTTCTCTGTAGGGCGGGACTTATTGCATGCTTTCATTTTCATCTGTTTAAACTGTGATAATAATCAGTATATTTTAGTTTAACAGATGTGCTTGTAGTTTTAACTAATACTCTGTTAGTTTGTCATCTTTATATTTTTATGTATGTTGTCTTAATAGTCATGTTTAATTTTTTATTATTAATTATATGTATTGGTGTTATTATTAAATTTACGACATGTAGTACGACAAATTAAAACTGTTTTTATTTATTTACATATTTATTAAAATTTTCTGATTATTAATTTTTATTTTATTTAACAAGACTATGTTGTTTTATGTAATTTATTTCTTAATCTGATGTATGTGTTATGGTGTATTTATTTGTTATTTTAATGATTTGTTTTATAATTTTTAGTTTATTTATGATTTTATTATTTTATTATTATCTTTTTTATTAAACAGTGTTATTTGTTTGTTTGTTTAAATAAATATTGAACTGGTTTATTTATTTTTTGTGTTATTTTATTGATTAATTATTTTAAGCCAATTTTTTGATTATTTATTTTTTAATCTTATTGAATATATACACACACACACACACACACACACACACACACACACACACACACACACACACACACACACACACACACACACACACACACACACACACACACACACACACACACACAAATAGACACAC